TCTCTCTCTCTCTCTCTCTCTCTCTCTCTCTCCACATTGTTAACGAGCTTTTGCCCCTGCTATAACCGATTGAGCTCCGATGAGGCCCTGTTATTGCCGGTAATTTTAAAGAGAAACAAAGAGTAGGACAAAACGGGGATTTAAAAAATTCCTCTTATTACTGGATCCGTGTTATTGCCGGGCCTGTTATATATGGTTTCCACTGTATGCTGATCGGGGTGTAAAAAGACATACGTTACAAAATAAAAGACTCGGTATGTTAACCTCTAAAACCTTTAAATCATCTATTATCTTCGTTGTAGGTTCCGTACTTGAAAAACCATTGTACTGAAATTAATGTTTACCTCCTCCCCTCCACACACGCACACACACACACACACACACACACACACACGCGCACACACACATACACACACAAAAAATGACATACACACCGCCGAGACATGTGGTCTTCCTATTTTGGCCTATTAGATCTATCTGAACTGGAAATCAAATCAATCAGCGAGTTCACTTATCACTGCCATGTTTCGCTTTTTGGCACCTTGTCATCACGATCGAAAGTGGATACACAAGCCTAGGCTTTCTCATACAGTAGATCTAGCCTATGTAGCCTATTAGCTCTAGATCTAGTACTCTTGGGTAAAAAAAATTTAAAAGTGAATCTGAGTCAAGAAGGCTAGTAGATCTAGGCTTAGGCCTTTGGTCTGAGTAAAATCCAGAGACAGAGATCCAGCAGCCAAATATCGAGCGGACAGCAGATCTTACTGGTGAATATATAGGCCAACAGCCGACAGTCAGTCAGTTCATTCTTGAATTTACTCAGTTCTTTCCAAGCCAGCCTCGGCAGGGCATGAGGCGAGGCATTTTTGCGACATTTTAAAATTCATGTGCTTGTGATTCCAGTGATCAATTAAGACAACACTCGACAATACGCAGATTCCAAACACGAGAGTCTATCTGCGCAAACTATTCAGGTATGTTATATATTATTTTTTTCTTTTTTTTTTTTTTGCTTTCGAATAACCCACATGACTTTATTGTTCTGATACATTGTTAAAGTATGTTATATTGTCGGCATAAGACAATTTTTGAACGAGAGATTTTGAACCGTTATAGATCTAATTCAATTCCAGTAACTACACTTTCCTTCGACATCATAATAGCCTAAATGAAACTGAAACATGAAACGTAAGAAAGACAGAAATATCGGAAAGAAAGTATAAGGAAGCTTATACTTATATTTACTTATAAGAATTTAAGGACTCTCCTCATAAATAATCGTACCTTACGCACAGGCTAGTGCAGGAGGCCCTAAGTCCTTAAATTCTTATAAGTAAATATAAGTATAAGCTTATTTATACTTTCTTTCCGATATTTCTGTCTTTCTTACGTTTCACGGACACTCAATACCGTATGGCTGTGTCTCATTACACAAACGGCAACCCCCTCCCGGGATCCCATTCCGCCAATTAATTCTCCGTTTTTGTCATTATATATAGGCTATTATGATATCTATACAATTATATATTCTCAGTTCAATGTCATGCAACCCCCCCCCCCCCCCCCCCCCTCTCTCTCTCTCTCTCTCTCTCTCTCTCTCTCTCTCTCTCTCTACTAGTTGTGGGTGGTTGGCGGGTGCTCTGATGTGGTTTGCTTCTGAATTCTTTCCTATCAAATGTATATCGTCCTTATCTCCCCTTCTTCTTTTTTATGTT